TGTGTGTGTGTGTGTGTGTATGTGTGTGTATATATATATGATTCGTCTCCACAAAAAGGTTCTTTTTCGGATAGATCGTTTTAATGAATCGGTTCAAAAAAGATTCAGAGGTCATTTTACGGTGGAACTGGCTTATGTTGTCTACAATTTTGAGCGCTGCACGACAGAATAGATCATGCCGTGACCGAGGGTCTTGATCTTATTTACATCTTAACTAAAATGCTATTTTTAAACCTTTCTATCAGCCGATGATAATTCTGAAAGAAAACGCAGAGAGCACAGATCAGTGGCCGAGAGATAAACCACGAGCTCTTGTATTAATGTGTTGTTGCTGATCTGGTTATTTTGTTTCGGCGTACAGTTTGTTAATTTTGTGCAAAGCATACGGTTACAGTAAACATCATTCAGCTTAACTGTGCACGTTTTAGACACTTCATGTCTTGTTCATGCTATAAACGCATGTCCACTGCTGAGCTGTGGGCTATGACTAATTTCATGCGCAATGCAGACAAAATTACAATTTAAAATCAATCAGATGCATCGTAATTTTTACAAATGAAGCTTCATATTATGAGAAGGCTACTTTCTACGACCCTTATATCCTGCAGTCATGGCGAAATTAGGTTCCTCCGATCTAAAAAAAACAAACAAGAATCGAACACAGCAGTGAGGAATCGATTCTTGGAATCAAATCCCATTGATTCCAGAACTGGGCACTGGGCACGTCGCTAGACCCAGGGGGCGTGCTGTCTTTGAACGTCAAAATTTGATTGGCTGATGATTCTGTCACTAATGCTCGCAACAAATCAGATGCGACGTCTTTCAACAAAAGGGTAGCACTATCTGTAGTATCTCAAAGTATCTCAAAAGTGTCTTAAAATTATGATTTATGCACCTTTATGCTCAAATAATAACTAAATAGTTTATATACTGTAAGTGTTTAAAAAAAAATAAAGCTTCATAATAAATCATTCCTCAATGTCTTACTCCATAAATAAGTTCATTACTGTAACAGCATTTGTTTTTTTTTCAAATTCACTTTTATTTGTGTTGCTCTTTAAAGCAGCTTTACAGAAAATTTAAACTGAAGGGTTCAACACGATTTTCTGTTGTAAGTCAACATTACACCACAAACAGTTATACCACAAATAATTGTTGATAGAGCTCAACCTGTACTGAAACTACAACTTTCCTTTAACAGTAATACTATAATAATTTGGTAAGTATTGAAGAGTAAGTTGCGCTTGCAAACAAACATTGTTGTTGTAATTATCGCGAGGGATTTGTGAAGCTGCAGCATATATGTAATATTCAGAATGTGTTGTTTAGACATTTTCTTGTGCAGTTTTTTTCCCACATGTGGTGTTATTAGTCCTGCTATACGCTGCAGAGCTGTTTGCATGAATATCAGCCGCATTAATCAGCGAGCGTGTCTCTGTGTCGCTGCAGAGCCGCATCAGGAGGATGTGGAACGACACTGTGAGGAAACAGTCAGAGTCGTCCTTCATCTCCGGAGATATCAACAGCACTTCCACTCTAAACCAAGGTAACAGATGAAACGCTGGGCTCTCACACATGCTGCTGTTCGTGCGCTTGCGCGTGCCTCAAAAGAGGGCTTACAATGACTTACAAAGATCCCCCGTAGTTCGCACCCTGCGTTTATAGATGCTGTAGGGTTTTTCTACTTGCTCCAGAGATGTTTATGTGAAAGGTATAATTATTTTATCTCCTTCTGTCTTCATTTAAATGAGCGTAAATAGTAACAAATTCTGTTTGCCTTGGGATGCATTCATGATTTATTTTTAGTTTTATTTATTTATTAGTTGGTTGGTGAATGCAGCCTGTGGTCACAAAGTGCATTGAACAAACTCGGGATCTTTTTCAGTTTGACGAATTCAAGCGAATTGAACCCAGATGCCACTGCACTCAATCTAAACTTACTGTGTCACAGGATTGAATCTTGTGAGTTTTGTGGTTAGTTTAGCTCACGAGCGCATGTACAGGGAATTAATTTAGTACCGAGCTGAGGATGGAAAAATTATTATGGACACATTTACACAGTACAAGAGATTATTAAGAAACTATGACCAATTGACACAGACTTGCACGCTGAGAGACATCACCACTGCTGAAGGGAGAAGATAAGCTGAATCGAATATAATTTGAATGCAAATAAAAGCATTTTATATAGATCCACAGCGAGAATGCATTGTCTTATACAAATAAATGTAAATGCCTTTATTTAATTAAAAAAAAAAAATTAAAATATGAATTTAATTTCTGTTATTTTGCAGACTTTTTTGCAAGCACAAAACATTCAAAGTGAACAATGCTTGCAATTGCCACTGATTATTTAAAAAGTGAACACTTGAATGCATTAAGACGTATTTTGCTCTTTCTTTCTAGCAACACGTCAAGTAATGAAGATATATTTGGTGTACCAATGTCTCTTTTTTAACTTAGTGATATACAGTTTGTTCATGTCACAGCATCTCATCCTGCTGTGTGGCCCATGATGCATTGCATCAATCCGTCTTACTAGCCATTTTATCGATCTATAATATATATATATATATATATATATAGCACTGCAATTGTTTTTAGGTTTTCTCCATCACACACTACATACAGGTTTAAACTCTTATAGAGAAGCACAAATCGGCAATAAAACATGTGGCTCCAAATGCATAACAGGATATTTTACTATTTCTTCTCTTTCATTTTCAGCTGTTTTGGTCTTTTCCGTTGGATCTGTGTGCAAATAGTCTCTGTCTTTTTTCATTAGGACTCTACATGCAATTCTTTATTTTCTTTCTTTCTTTTTATTTGGCAGTTTAAAATGCACAAAAAATAACAAGAGAATGCAGTTTATAAACAGTGCAGGGAGAGGTAAAAAACCCACGAGGACTTATTTAAAGCCTCCACCTAAACAATATAAAGTCTTCACAAAATTATAAAGAAAACGAAATTAACAGAGAAGTTTATATAACTACATCCAAAAAAAGTAAATACATTCATGCATACAGTATGTACATGTTAAAATGCATCTATGCATGCATCTGTGAAAAGTGCATATATACAAACAAATATAAATGCCAAGAAAATATTGATTTTACACATAAAGATTCAAGATTCTTTATTGTCACTATACAAGTATAGTGAAATTTGAGCAATCCTAACAGTGCAGTCACATGTAACTTAAACATATGTAATACAAAAAAAAAAAAAGAAGTATGTTATTACTATACAATACAAGACAAACAATACATAAACCAATACAAACAAGGCGATAGTGCAAAGTTAAGCCTTAACTGCAATACAGTCAGCGATAAACGGTATGCTGTTTAACAATACAATACAAAGACAGTACAAACAAGGCGATAGTGCAAATTTAAGCCTTATTAAATATCGTATTGCACACATTATTGAACAGTTGGCACATAATAGAAAAGATGTACATGTTGCATTGTTTGCATTCTAAAGGCTCCAGTGAGTGGACTATAAAACACTATAAAACTGATCTTTGTCTTAGGTTAGTTAGAGAGCGACCAGGATGCTTTTTAAAAATTATTCATTATTTCGGCTTTGCACAAGTGTTGCTGATGAGAGTTTGGTGTTCAGTTCGAGCTGCTAGAGACGTGACCGAGCAAGCGAGAGGAAGAGTGACTTTGAGTCAAACTAGCGTAATGTGCTCAGGTGTGATGCAGGACCCAGTGTTCTTTGGTACACTTAAAATTTGAAATTGAAAGTAATAGTTTTCATGTTTTTTTTTTTTTGTATATTCTGGAAAGATTTAGCTGTGATCTGGCATCGGGACAGATGCATGCTCTAAACAAAGTCATATTTATAAATATTAGTGTCTGAAAGTCGAACATCTTATCGGTGCTTGTGAGATAAGATATATTTTTGTGTCCAAGTAAAACATTTGCTTGGTGGGCCATTCTGTTCACATAATCTGAAATATGTGATCAGTCAACATTTAGTTCTTCTGTCCACTCAGAGCAGCTTTTCACACGCATAGCAATGTCATCTGAGTGGCTGTTTCAGTTCACAGTTCAGGTCAGTAATTCTGTCTAATTCTGTTCTGCTTTTCTCAAGCTCTCTTGTTCACACTCATTCTCCTCTCTTTATTTGTTCAACAGGAATGAGCGGCAACTATCTGCTAACTAACCCTCTCCTCAGGCCTCACGACACTAACAGCCGCTATAACAACCTTCTTGCCGAAACCATCGTCTGCAACACCCCTTCTCCTCCAGCTTTCCGCTCTCCAGGTGCTTTATGGGCCAGGTCTCTTTCTGTCGTTTGGGAATGTGGGCTGGACAAATCCCGGCTTTTTCACAGCATGATTAACGCAGGACTGCAGTTTACAGAGAATCTGTAATGAAATCACTGCAGCCTTTCTCCCTTTGAGCTGCATGAATCTCTTGCTTTTTTATACCATTACCTCTAAATTATTAATTAACCCTTTTAATTCAGATTTTTTTTTTTTGAGAATGATGGATTAGAAGAGCTTTCCCAGATTTAATTTGTTGAGATTGTCACTTAATACAACTTGTGTTAATAATATAACTAAGTTGACCAAACTTTACATTTTAAGGTGGCACAAACACTTTTCATAAGTTCAAACAAAAGTTTTTTTTTTTTGATCATTCATTCATTCATTCATTGAAACATTTATTATTTATTTATTTATTTATTTTAATTAAATTATTTTATTTTTTTTACAGTTTATTTCCTGCTGTATATTGTTAATGGGGCAGTCTGTAATTAGCATTATGTCAGTGTTATCTATTATTTTAATTTCATTTTTAACGTTTTATTTTATTTTATTATCAGTGTTCTCCATTCTTGTCATTTTTTCTTTTTTTTAATTAATTAATTAATTTATTTATTTGCGGACATAAAATGCATAACCCTAACCCTAATCTCAATTTAATATATACATATTTTAATGAACCACCCAAAATTTAAGGGGAACAGCCAGCGATCGCCATGCATTTTCTTTATATGAAAAATGAGCATACACTGAGAAAGAATGGTGTAGAAACTATTTTCACTCAGAAATTGAAAAAGAAACCGCAAGCAACACGTGAAATTTCAAAGTACAAAGACTGAGATGGTATGCAAAATTTTAAAATGTACTCCAATAATCTTTGTTTTATGCACAACAAGGAAACAAGCCATCTTACCAAATCACACATTATAAAACTTTTATAAAACTGTAATAATTTTTATATTGCCTTTTTTCATTAATTTGTAGTAGACTTTTTGCCATTTTAAACTGTATTTATATATATATATATATATATATATATGTGTGTGTATAAATATAAAAATGTATAACATATATATGAATATATTAAAATGTACAGACAGACAGACATACACATACATTAAAAAAAATTCTATATATTTTTAACCTTAATGTAATTTAAAAAAATATATTTTTTAACCTTTGTAACCCATAAACTTAAATGTTTTAAATTTAACAACTTTTCATATCTTTCAATATTGTCCCCCTCACTTCTGAAATGATGGCTACGCCCCTGATATATATAATATAAACATTTTAACCAACTTCAAGCATAAAACAAGTGCATGGTGATATAGTTTCTATAGAATAAGGAGACCCAGAATTTAATAAATTATACAAATATTGTAGATATGTATTTATTTATGTACGTTGAAGTATGGTAGAGTATGTAAATTCACATAATTGAACAAAATAAATTGAATAATCACTGTATTCATAACTGTCAAATAGTATAGAAATGCATAAGCTAGAAATGCTGACAGTTTCAGTGCAGTTTACAGGCTTGTGGACAAATGTTTCCACTGTAATAGAAAGTAGGAGTTTTATTGAAATGTTTGATTTATTGTGGCAGTGTAATGTCTCAGGGCTGACTGCAGCATGATGCTTGAAGCGGAAGTGAACGAAAGAATTGCTTCTGATTACATCTGAACAGCTCGCTCAGACTGAGACCTGCGCTCTAGACAAACAGCAGCAGGAAAAGCATTTGTACATTTGCAACGCTGAGCAATCAAAGATCTGGCTTTTCTCCCAGAATTCCTGCTTTCCAGCCGCGTTGGGTCTGCTTCTCCAGTCCAGACAGTACCTGACTGGACGAAACCCCTCGCCAGCACATAAACAAATGCAAATCATCTGGGCTGAGATGATGTTTTATGGTTGTTTGCTTTATTTTTGTCCTTCATTTCTCCCCTCGGTCCCTCTCTCCTCCCGTTCAACTCTTTGCAGAACACAGACGTGTTTTTCACATCCCTTATGTTTATTTCAAACTACAGAACTTTAAATCCATCCTATGCTCCACATGAAACAGCAGTTCATTAAATGTATGATGATTTTCCACACTTTCAGTTCTATCACCAACTTATTGTTATTAGTCAAGAAATACTGCTGTTTCATACTGCTTTGTAATTATGACTTGAGATGTTTATGCATTCATATACTGTAGGCCTGCAGAAAATAATTAGGTAACACTTTGTTGATACTCCACTTTAGACATTTTACTAACTATAAGTAACATCTAGCAGTCATTAGAGTATTAGTTGTCTGTCTGCTAAATATCTGCTAACATTTTATTTTGATGCTCCCCAACACACATTACAACGACTACACTGTAAGTAACTTTGCAAGAACATGTCAACTTATTCTACTAACCCTAACCCAACAGTCTACTAATACTCTAATGAGAGTTACGTAGTTGACGTAGTTGCAAATTAAAAACGGTTAGTTGACATTTAGCTGCACTAAGTTAACTTATAGTTAGTGGAATGTCTAAAGTGGACTGTCAAAATAAAGTGTGACCAGTATTTCTTTCTTTCTTTTAAAGATGGAGTGCTAACCCTGTTACTCCTGCCATATCCTGCATTCAGCCTTCCGATAGATTCGCTCACAAAAAAATGGATTTAAAAAGCTTTATTGCTTTGCA